AAACCTCTCTCTCTTCTTCGGTATCACAGCTAGTTACGACTTCTTTAGTTCTTTTCTTCTGTGAATTAACTTCTCGAGATTTAGGAGGTGCTCTTTTACTGGTCATTGTAGGTTTGGTCCAAGCATGACCCTGCGACGGTTCGGCGTCTGCACATTTGAAGGTTATTTTGTTATCTATTTGCTTACTTTAAGTATACAGACTTGACTTTTACCTTTTTTAAGTTTCTTGATCCCTGTTAATGTTTTAAAAATATCTTTTTCTGCGAAATGRGCACTACAAACTACGGTCGCCCTCGTGACAAMGAAACCATCATGGCCGTGCCATCTCTTGATTAGATTACACCATCGAGTTTGCCTTGATTTCTCTCTCGGGAAAGCGAAAAAATGCAAGTCTGGATTCTTATAAAACGTGTTTGTACAGCCATAGGCAGCACATTGCGGTCCTTTTCTTTTAATCGGCTTTTTGGGGCGTTCTAAACTCATTTTTGAACCCGAAACCTATGTGTTTGCCCATCAAGCAATACTTTGAGTCAAGGTCAGCCTCGCTTTCGTGCAAATCCAAAATGGCGACCAATGAACCGCGAATTGGACTATTCTCTAGAGGCTTTCAAGCTGTCGTTAATTCCCGGGCGTAAATTCTTGATGTAATAGGCCTCGAGGAATTCCAACCGAGACCAGTTGTCACTCGTGTCAATAATTTCAAAGTTCCCGTGAACTGCATTATGAATATACGAGTCGAAGTCAACCATGACTGAGTGCTCATCGTTCACGGTGGGCAATCCCATGAGACTCACCATATCACTGAACAGAATACAATCTACTAAGTGCTTAAACATAGGTTGATCTTTGCGCCTAGCATGTTCATTAAGTCTAAAATACAAACATCGATCGGTTTCCCCAATGTATGTTTGGGAGCAACCAGGACATGTAAAAATCTATAAATTACATTAGATTTCTGATAATCTGCTACAGGGTCCTTATTAGAACAATAATAAGATGTTTTAGTGGTGTTTTATATGATGACATTGCTGACTTTATCCTTGATAAAGAAGCTGAATGTGGCATTGTTTATGCTGTACTACCAAGTGAAGTAGCAAAGATACATTCCGAATTACTTAAAAGAAATATCAACGCTGTTAAGTACCATGGTCAGCTCAGCGAAGAAGTCAAGGCTTCAAGTATTAGCAAATGGTCAAATGGAATTGCTAAAGTCATGATTGCAAATGCCTCCTTTGGCATGGGTATAGACCGCCCTGATGTGAGATATGTCTTACATACTCACATACCACCCAGCATGGATGACTACTTCCAGCAATGTGGTCGTGCAGGACGTGATGGCTCACCTGCATTATGCCACTTGTATTACAGCTACTCAGACAAAGTTTCCCTTTATAAACTCTTTAGCCACAATCAAGAAAACTTAGAAGTACAATATGCAAATGTGCTAGAACTGATTGCTTTTTTGGAAAATCCAATTCAGTGCAGACACAAAGCCATCATGGCATACTATGGTGAAGTAATTTCATCTGTGTGACAAGCTGTGACAATTGTAAGAATAGAGGGACATATTCTTTGAATGATGGAACAAGCGATGCAATAAAGGTTGTCCAAGCAGTAATAGAACTCTCAAATACTCAATTAACATTCAATACGCTCAAGCTATTTCTTGCTAAGAGCAATCAAAAAGTCATAAAGGACAATTGATTGGACAGTTTAGTGAATTATGGCGCTCTTGCAAAGAAGTTTACACCTGTTGTGCTTTTAGAAAAGTTTCTCCATATCTTAATTGCTCAGGATATTCTTACAGAAAAGATTGAAAAAAAAAGGTAGAGGTATTTCCTTTAACATCACTCTTGGTCGAAAAGCTCATGAATTACTGGCACTTAATGTAAATATGAAAAAGTAAAGTAAATTATTACTAAAAATATAAAAGAATATGTATATTACAAAAAATATGTTTATTAAGATATACATTATGGTAATAGTAAATGCTACAATCAGTACATTTGCCTGTAAAAGTAGCATTCATAAAGAGTTCTAAAAAACATATTTGTGTATTCTCAGTATAATATTGATAAACATAATCATGGTATAGCATTTACTGTTAATTTGTTGTAGTTTATCTTGTACATACCTTGATATTGAATTTGTTATTATTAAAGTGGATAATTTTACTGAAACATCAAGTGTTATTGAAATGTATAATGTAGGCATCCCAAAATAGGCAATGTGAATATTGGATCATGTTCTTAAAACATTCTAGACTTGAAAAATTCAATGTTGATGAGTCCAATAGACCCTTCGCCAAATGGACTGTTGCTTATTAAGTAAATTTTTTAGTCTAATATTTTTTAAGTCAAATGCAAAATGACCCCTGAATTAACAATAGACATGTAAAATGCAAACCCAGTTACTGTTACTATGGCAACAGTTTGTGAAAGATATGATATTTTCCAGGTTCTAAGTAGCAACAGGAGTTTTATACTGTACACTGTAAATATATATTTTATCTGTTTCTGTTTTTCAGTTTCTTCAAACAAAATTCGAAGATATAAACAATTAAAATGATTTGGATATTTTCTATGGAGAATCAAACTATCAATGGACTCGTTAATATAGCCCCGATTATGAAAATCTCCACCTCCGGGTACATGAACGGAATACTTGTCAGGGCAACGATTTTAGCAGCTAAGTATTGTTACGGTATTTTTCTGATCACCAACATTTATGTTTAAAACGCGTGCATAATTCACACTTCTAGGGGTTTCATGTTCGGTGGTGTCGACTTCCATGTTCTCACCAAGATTTTCTTCGATAGAATAATGTTCCTTTATGTGGTCTATCAAAGCGCGATGTTCCTCAATTTTGTTTAATACAAGAACTTCTAATGCTGGATATTTATCTCGCACAAAATCCGCAATGTCCAACCCAAATCACCGTGATTGCATAAATCATCAGCCGTGGAAACTTCGATCAAGTATTTTGCAGTGTTCACGTGTCCTTTGTGTAATGACAAAGTTAGAGGACTTTGTCCAATACTATCCAATGTATTTACCAGTGCTCCGGAATAAACTAAGCTTTGCACTAACCTAGTATTACCATTCAATGCAGCGACATGAAGCAAGCTTCTACCGTACTGATCCCGCGCAGGCCACCAAACAGACTTCAGCACGGCTACGCGTTCACTTAAAACTTCTTGGTCTAACACAGAGGTAACATCTTGAAGAATGTTGTAAATATCAGAGCATATCTTATCCATTTCAAGATTCGGATAAGACAAGCCTACATTTTTTATCAAGAATTCCCAACTTAACTCAGGCAGATCCATTATTAAAGTGACAATTCCAGCAAAGTTCGCGGGAAATTTCAATTCCTTTTTGAGTATTTCCGGTTAACGCATTGTGAGCCAATCATACACACACATCTTCAAAGTTAAGACCGAAGGTGATTCTGGGTACTCAGAAGTTTTAATCATGTTTGTCTAAACATTTATTTCATCAACATTTCTCATGAAGGAACTTATATTCAGATATTTTTGCTCTTCTTTTGCAAGCAYCCTTTTAGTCTTAAATTTGATATTGTAACTACCCTGAGTATCAGTCTCTCTCGAAGGGGATTTGGGTTGTGCACATACGCTTTACATAAAACAGAAAAATAAGGGCTGAAACGTCTGCTCACATTATTATTGTTAATGGTAATTGACTGTTATATAATGTTTTGCCACTTACAGCTTTTGACCATCCGTCTTAGGTCTTTGAAAATAATAGTAAGTTCATCAAAAAAGCCGCCCATTATTAATGAGAATTTGGTGATTTTCCTTAATTGACATCACTTTCTCTGTCCTTGTTGCCAAGGACCTTAAGCTTTCTTCAACATGATCAATCCTGGTTAGTTTTTTGTATTTTTAAAGAAAACATTCATGCCAATTAGGTACCTTGTTAGCAGATGTAGTCTGTCCTTTCATTTCAAAAAGTAAGAAAAAGACAAACTATTTCTGCTTCTAGCAATTATGGAAAAATAAATATATAAATATCAAAAATTAAGTTACAATTGAATAAGTGAAGTCTGCGTAACGTGGTAAGCTTTCATTTAATGTACAAATTGCAATAAAAGAATCTATTCAATTTCATCCTCACTACTGCTAGTTTCATCATCAAATACATGTAAAAGGACATCACCATCATCAAATTCTGGAACATATTCAGTACTATTTACGAATGCATCCTGCTGCATTCGCAGTGTTGCTTCATATTCCTGCTGTGTTTCTTTATGCTTTTCGTATGACTTCAAGAAGGAATGCCTCTCATACGCTTTGTCCAAATCAAATTCTTTGGCGCTGGGTGACACAAAATTTTTCTTAGTGTTTCTTTCATTGCTGAATCCAAATTCAGAAGCAAATAAATCTAAGTTGCTAGCAGTTCCTAGAATTGTACACTGGTTTTCATGAGATATAGGCAATGGATAGATTTTTGTCTGGTTTTTAGACAAATGAGGGAAGTCTTGTACTGGTGGAATGTCAATTTTGTACTTTTTAGTACCCTGTGCCTCCTCAGCAGTTTCGGCTATTGTCTGCAAGTTGTCATTTCCTGCATTACGGATTTCACTACAGGATGCACTAATATGGTTTAAGTCAAGCTTCTGTAGAAGTGTCCTACTTCTGAATGACTCCCACAAATGATGGTGTTGTTTGTTGTTCTCAGAAATGTAACAGTAAATTTTAAATATTTTAATAATATTATTTTTTATAAGAAACCAAGACTACAATGTAAGTTGTAAACACATCACAATTAATTACCTATACAAATGTCTTTGAATTCTAATTCTGATATATCCTGTTGTGGGTCTAATGCTGTTTCCTTCTTGCGAAATAACTCTTGAAGCCCATCAATGTCAGCCAATCTCCATCCTCTAACTGTAAAGTCCCACATTTTCCCTTGCTTGAGTTTATTTTTCTGCAGCTTGGAAAATCTTAGGTGTCTCATGGATGTCCTCATTATTTGCATATTATCCTGATAAGTTATTACAGGCATGTCTTCTGGAGCTCTCTTCTTCAGAAGTTCTTAGTATTTTTGTAGTTGTCCCTTCAAGATAGTAGTTCTTAAAACACAATAACAGAATTATATTGTTGTCATGAATATATATATTATATATATACCCATCCAGTACTTATTTTGTAGACAGTCAAGACAATTTTCCAAATGCTCCAAGGTGGACAGGTGATATGTGTAAGTTGAATATCAGACTTAGATTTGTAAAATTGACAAATGCTGTAAACAAATAAGCATACAAAGAAAATATATAACATATAATACAAAATGAAAAAAATATATATATAAACAAATAAGCGTACAAAGAAAATATTCAATTCCATGTTGTCTTTTGATATTATTAGCATACTTACAAAGTTCTGAATGACTCTGACAACCCCAAGGTTTGGAGCAATTGAATCATAGATGGTCCTGCCCCGTAACATAGACACAGCATTCCAAAAAGGACAGGAATGTCATTTTTACTGTGTTGGTCTCTAACATCAAGCAATGACCCCAGCAAATGCACAGCAGTCTTCATCTTCATTGACATTTAAGGGTGTTCCTACTTGCATTTGGCGACAGAACTAACTGCTCTAAAATGTTGCTTAATGTTGGGCATTCCCGTTTTAGGTCACATCGCAACCTATGGAACAAATTGGGATCAAAAATTTCAGCCAAATATACTCCCTGATCTCTCATTCCAAAGGAATAAAGTCGCTTTGCTTTCTTTATTTCTTCTTTAATTGCATTCCTCTCTGCCAAGGAAAGCACTCCACCAAGAAAATTCCCTGTTTCAGTTATTTCTTGGTGCAGTTTAATGATCTCTTGCTGCCTCTCAATCAGTGTTCCTGCAACACTTTCCATGTCAATTAGTTTGTTCTCTAACACCTTAATCTTGTTTTGCAGTTGAATATTTTCTTTCTTAAGAGTTGTATCCTCTTCAGATTGAGAACCAGTTAGAATGCCAGTAACTGAAAAGAATAATGTACTTGAATGAATTAAAATTTTCTGATAATTTCTCTTGCAACCTAGTACAACAAAATAATGATTTATAAAATCATACAATGCACCTTCTGTGTACAGATCATCAATCACATTGATACCAGTGCCTAGAAAATAAAATATGAATCAGTACTTCACATTTTGATAGATCAAAATGCATATCCACTACATCGAGCATTTTTACAAGAAGCTGCACACATAATTTATTTTGTTCTTCATGTTTAACAATTATAATTACCTGCATTAAAATCCAATTGAGCTCTGCATCTTGTGCTCAAATGTTGATCTAAAAATATGTTTGTTCAGTAATAATGATGGTTATTAGAGCAAACATTCAAAATATCGTACCTCGTGAGATCTTGTTTATCTTCTTTAATCATTTCTGTAGGATAAGGGGTGGTATTGTAATAAGTTAATAGTGCCAGATAATAGCATAACAGAATACATCATATAAACGTAAATATAACATGATATCATTCTAATATTATACCTGTTGTTATTC